CATTTCCTCCCACTCCCCCTCCGATTTGGACTGTAAGAGTTTATTAAGCGATATATAAGGGAAACAGCTGGTGGCTGGCGAGTGCTGTGGTTTGGTATGCTATCAAACATCTATCTTTCTCATTTCTCCTCCCTTTTTCGTATGTTACTCTGTAGTGACACGTCTAATCTTCGGCACTGAAGTGACCTATTTGTGTTGCAAGTGTCGTAAAACTCTTAATAAAACTACAAACGAAAACGGCAGAGGCAGTCAAGCATCGGGGTCAGATTCAGGGTCTGTCAATTCTGCCAATGTCCATGAAAACTCTACTTTTTCGATGCTGTATTTTAGCGTGATTGCAGCGGGCTTTTATCGGACCAAGGAACTCATAGTTTTGAGTTGGAGTCGCTTTCTCAAACAGGGAGTAAACTTTAATAGTTGTTTCCGCGTTGGTTTGCAACAATTTGGCCTCACAGAAATTAGCCCTTTGCTTGTAGTGTGACTTGAACATATTTGATTATATCGGATTATTTTTTTACGGACATGACACTAGTGCTTATATGGTTGTGTAGGCACATCCACAAACACACACACACACACACTCACACACACACACGCGCGCAATCATCCACACACAGACACATTATTGTCCATTTTCCTTCACACAAAGCAAAGTACTTCCAACGTTGCACTGGTGCATGCGTTTCTTGCGTTCAGCTCGGCGCTTAATTAAAGAGGATAAGATTACGGGAGATGGATGTAAGAGGGGTTTTGGAGGCTTGTTTTATTGTTAAGGGGTATGATCAGTTTTCTGGGTGCAAAATTTAACAAGTCCCCTTGTGAGTGTGTGGTTGGAGGGTGCTCTAGTGTGTTTTGCTCCTTCTTTCCTATCAAACATCTATCGCCCTTTTCTCTCCTCCTTCTGTTTGTGTTTGTTACTCCCTTTTAACATCTCTAATCTTCGGCACTTATATGACTTTATTGTGTTTGAAGTGCCGTAAAACTCTTACGAAAACGAAAGACCCCTTGTGTAATACGTGCATTCCTTTTACTGTCTTTTCGTTATACCTGTTCTGTATACCTCATGCTGCTTCTTTTCTATTCATTTTCTTGTTTGCGTTTTATGTATAAGGAGGTATAGATGAGACGAACATGTTTGTGTCTGCAAAAATTTACCAGTGAGCACACAAGACCACCCACAGGTATAATACCCTTACACTGCTTCTTGAGCGCTATCTGATCCCCTCCTCTCCCCCCCTCTGTCTGTCTGTCTGTCTGTCTGTCTGTCTGTCTGTCTGTCTGTCTCTCTCTCTCTCTCTCTCTCTCTCTCTCTCTC